ATAACCCTAGTTACTAAGTCCCATGATCCTTTAAGTAGACCCTAAACCTTAAACGCTATAGATCCCTGTGAGGAACCCTATAGATCCCTTTCAGGAGCCCTTTAACGAAAACCCTAGTTACTAAGTCCCATGATCCTTTAAGTACTTTAAACCCCTATAGATCCCTTATGGGAACCCTTGAAGTCCCATGATCCTTTAAGTAGACCCTAAACTTACCAAGTCCCATGGTCCTTTAAGTAGACCCTAAACTTACTTAGTGCCATGATCCTTTAAGTACAGTACCCTTCCCAACTCGATTTGCTTCGAAGACGAGGCGCCTGGTGCGTAGGACAAGCGAAGAACCCGAAGATCCGGTATGGCACCTTGGCTGACTTCCCCTGACCCTCCAAGTAGTACCCCAAAAAAACCCTAAAGATCCCTTTAAGGAACCCTATAGATCCCTTTAAGGAGCCGGAGGTCCGGTGTGGCACCTTGGGTGACTTCTGAACCCCCTCCTAACAAATCAGGGGTTTGGGGTCTAATAAAGTTTAACAGGGTTTGATGGGGTTTAAGGTGTAATAAGGTTTAATAGGGTTTAATGGGGTTTAGGGTTTAGGATTTAGGGTTTAGGGTTTTTAAGCTCAGGGTTTAGGGATAGAAGCCCGGAAAGTTAAAGTCCTAAGAGCCAACCGCCCAAAACGCCATGGGCACAGTGTGAAAGGTTCGGCCCACCATCCGGATCGTCCCACAGTATCAGACAAGTTCCGTTCTGGAAATCCTGACAGAGCATGGTATACTAAAATCCACTCTAATGATTCTAAGGTACTAGAACGTATGTCTCATTTGCGACTTCTATGGTCCTTGGTTACATGCTGACTTCCGCAGAACCCCTAGATCCTAAACCCTAAACCCCTAAACCTAAACCCTGAAACCCTAAAACCCGAAACCCCGAAAACCATAAATCCTTCATACCCTAAACCCCTACAGTAAACCCCATAAAGTTGGAAACCCGATTAAGGCCAAATCGTGCTGGGATTCCCTCTACATTACTCTTAAGGATTGAGGCTATGGGGTGTCCAACTTTTGGGCTTCTACTGTAAACCCCTAAATAGTACGCTGCGGGCTGCGAGAGCTCCGGCCTGATGTACAGTGCCTGGATACCACTGCAGATCCTCTTCCCACAAGGCCTGGGCTCGAGTTGTTGGGGGGCCCCCCAGAATGATCGTCAAAATTGGTTGCTTCAAAGGGATCTAAAAGGGATCTATCAGGGCTCTATGTAGGGTTTAGGGTGAGTTGCGGGCCCCCCAGAATGATCTGCTCGAATAAGGGTCTAAGGTCATAAGGGTCTAAGGCCTTTCAAGGGACCTATAAAAGGTCTTAGGGTTCCTTTAAAGGGATCTATAGGGGTGGTTATCAAAATTATGGTCCTTTCTGGGTCCCTACTATAATGCGGCACCTATTATTTTGGGTACCCAAAAAGGGTCCCTAATTGTGAACACCACCCAAGTACCTCTGTAGGACCATCAGGGGAAATTCTAAAGCTTCCTAACTTTTTTGTGGGATCTCTATACTAGGGTTTATAATAAGAACCTACAAAAAAGTAGGGTTTGGCAGTTTAAGGTTCCTAACAGTGCGGCCTAGAAGCTTCGACGCGAAGACCGGGCTGAATCGGGGACGCCACGGCAGGTGCCCATCGCATGCTCCTGGGCTTCGTCTTTGCCTTACCTTTGGTTAGTAGGGAATAGGGCTCCTTTAAAGGGATCTATAGGGGTTTAGGGTTCCTTTAAAGGGATCCTCAGCTTCGGTTAGTAGGGAATGGAGGAATGGTAGTAATAGTAGTTATATGGTAGTTATATATGGTAGCAATATGATAGTAATATGGTAGTAACATGGTAGTAACAGTAGCTATAATTGTAGCCCATTCCTCCATTCGCTACTAACCAAAGGTAAGAGGAGTCGTGGGCTCGAAGTGAAGCGCAGCAGGTCCCCGATGCCCTAAATCCTATATACCCTGAACCCTAAATCTATAGCCTAAATCCGATGCCCTATTAACCCTATATACCCTAAATCTATAGCCTAAGTCCGATACCCTAAAGACCTGTGCGGCACCGGCACAGGCAGCATCGCGATCTTGACCCAAACAGCAGCCGTGGGGCCAGGAACACCCCGGTCAAGACAACGACGGTCTTCAGACCATGGCGGGTCCGGCGTGGCATCACAGATAGCGCACGACAGTTTAGGGTTTAGGGTGTATTTTAGGATGGGCTGCTTCACTCAGATAGTGGATATATACATGTCTATACATATATACACATACATGTATGGGTAACAGATGTATATGTGCATATGTGTATCTTAGAGCAATATTACAAGGGCTAGACTATGAAGGACAATGGACTGTGGCATACCAGAGAAAATAGAACCATGTATGTGAACCATCTGCCTCCAGTGATCTGTTGGAGCCTTCCTGCTGCTTACAAGGGCAGCTCCATGCGTTAGCCTCTCGCCCTGCTAGTATAACTATGCCAGTTTCGCATGCATAAAGCTGCACGACATTCTCGAGTGGAGTGGATAGAGTCGAGTCATAGCCGCTCAACTCAAGAGAAAGATGACCGCCCAGAATGCAACCCGATGCGATCAAGGGCCAGCGCTGGCACAATTAGCATAAATATCGCAGCGCCAGGGACTGGTTGAGGTACAGATTCTAGAGATGGCAGACTGTAGAACTAGTGGAGTGCGCGAAGATAGAACACAATGCAAGATAGAGGTAGATAAAGTAATGATATGCTCTTCCACGATTTAACAACACCTGTCGCCTAAATTAATGGAAACTGCACTTTCTTCTTATTTCGAGGTCTTCGAAAACCTACTCGTATCACGACTTCAGGCAGGCCTAAACCCTTTAAGCCCGAAATCCTAAACCCCAAACCTTAAACCCTAAATCCTCAACCCCGAACCTTCAACACCTTAAACCCTCTCCATAACAGCCGTCGGAATTTCTGAGAACCTTTCAGTCTGGCCTTCTCGTTCCTCGAAGCCGGTCGGCGAAGAAACCCGCGCCTTTCGCAGAGAGTCGTCGCAGCAGCCATGCTCAGAACGGTTCTAAGCTTCAGGGTTTGGGGACTTTGGGTCGGGGTTTAGGGGTTCGGGTTCAGGAATTTAGGGGTTGAGGGTTCAGAGTTTAGGGTTTGGGGGTTAGGGCTTAGGGGTTTAGGGTTCAGGGTTTTAGCGTTTAGGGTTTTAGTAGGGTGCAGCGCTTGGGGATTAAGGATTTAGGGGTTTCGGGTTCAGGTTTTGGGGTAAGTTTAGGGACTATGAACCGTGAACATGCCAAGAATAGCAATGCTGATGTTCCGCCGATCGCGTAGGAACTGAGGAAAACATCTCCAACCGTAGTAACAACTACCAACAACAGTGACAGTGGGAAGAGCAATAAGACTCACGTGTGTCGAGATGTTGGTACAAGGCTGGCAGACCCAGTTAAGAACGACACTCGCGACACAAGTCATTGTCCCAATGACGGTAACCGTAGAACTCGCAAAAGATCCCCTACAGTCAGTTGCCGAGCATTGCCAACAGTACAAAGACAAGTCTGTCTGTCTACCGCGGTTCCTGAGCAACCCCTTCATGATGAGGGTACACTTTTTCCTAGTTTTCAGCTTTAAAAAATGAACCCCAAAAGACAAAGAGCAAAAGGGTACAGGAACCTAGCGACTTTTAAACCATAAAACCCTGTTCTAAACCCTTACAAAACCCTTACCAAACCCTAGCAAAACCCCTAAAGGTACATTTCTTAAGTATGGTGGACCCCTATAGTACCCTTTAGAGGGGGACCCATGATGGAACCCAATACTCCCCTTGAAGGAGCCCATCGAGGTATTTGGTCTCTCTGGGTCGGCCAAGCCCCTACACTAAACCCTTATAGCAGCCCTTCAGGGCTTTTCGGTTTAGGTTTACGGTTTAGGGTTTCTTATAGTAGCCCTTATAGACCCTTTGCAAGAACCCTCTACAGGAACCCTATTCTAACTATTCAGGCACCTAGACTATACCCTTATAGTATCCCTTGTAGTAACCCTTATAGACCCTTCATTAGAAACCTTTAAAGGAACCCTATTCTAATCATCAAGGCCCCTAGGTTATTGGTCGCTCTGGGTCGCGCACATGTACGGGCTGTGCCAAGCGGCTCGCGAGGAACATCTCTGAACCAGGCACCACCTTAGGTTCTTCGTGGTTTCGTGTTTTGGGGTGTTAGGGATTTAGGGTTTTAATGTATTGCGGATTTAGCGTATGGAGGATATAGGGCTTTAGGGGTTTAGGGTGCTAGGGTTTAGAGTTTGGGCGTTTCGGGTTTAGAGCTTTAGGGTATTAGGGATTAGCGTGTAGGGAACTAGGTTTATGGCGTAGGGTTTAAGGGCTTCGCGGGATTCACATGCAGCAAGCACTAGAAGAAGCAGCTTGTTACAATGCCGGTGCTAGTCGCAGGGCGATCCGCTGGCTTTTGAACACCCTAAACCCTGAACCCTAAACCCCCTACCCCCGAAACCCTAAACCGCTCTGTTGTTGGTTGGCCTGGCTGGCTCGGTATGGAGAAGTTATTCAGTCCAAATTCTCTTCGCTCCTGTTGCATGATCCTGTAGACTTCGAACCCCTAAACCCCTAAACCGTTGCAGGCATTTGCTGAGTACCTGCTGCTTTGAAAATCTCATCAACAACAAAAACCCCCTTGCCTCGTCAGTTAAGGAACACACTGGTTTAGGGTTTAGGGCTTGGGTGAGTTACCACAAACAATGCCTAAAGTCTCCTTATTACTCCTGAACAAGAACCCAGCAGATCAGTTTGAGCGAATGCTCCTGCCATCATAGATCTGGTGAACATGTCGAAGGCAAAGTCGTTTCTCCCGATGCAAACTGTCGCAGAATGATGTGCTGTGTGGCCGAAGCGGCAATCGGCAGGTGCCCTGCTATGCCGTGCTTCGCTCGTCGTGAGTCAATATACTAGCAACAGCATGCGCCCCTTTAGTCTTATGACGGTGCAAGTAGCTGCTGTCGAGGTGGGGGTTTGGCCTGCTGTTGCAAAGCCTCTGCTGCTAGCCTCAACTCACTTTCATCGCAGCGCCAAGGCCCATCACACTTCGCAAGTTTCCTGAGTCAGGGCTGTCAGCGGATCTCTGACAACGATGAAGCTTGAATGACCCCTAAACCCTCAACCCTGATCCCTAAATCCTAAACCCTAATCCCTCAACCCTAATCCCTAAACCAACCACGGATGAGAGGACAGCTGCATGACCGTGTGCACTCAATGAGTTCTGACTTCCCCTCAAAAAATCCCTAAACCCGAATCCCTAAACCCTCAAAGCTTCCCTAAACCCGAATCACTAAACCCTCAAAAATTCCCTAAACCCGAATGCCTAAACCCTGACAAGGTGCCCTTTGAGCATCTCCAGGCAAGGCCCAACAAAGGCGACTTCTGACAAAGCCATGGTTCTGGCCTTGGGCCCCTTTCCTCGATCATGGGCTGGGATTTAGGTTTTTTTTTATTTTTTTGACCGGCCCTTTTCCTCCTCGCAGTAGGGATTTAGGGTTTAGGGTTTAGGGTACGGGACTGTAGGGTTTATAGGGTTTAGGGTACAGGATTTAGGGTTTATAGGGTTTAGAGTACAGGATTTAGGGTTTCGGGTTTAGGGTACAGGATTTAGGGTTTAGGGTTTAGGGTATATACAGGGATTTAGGGTTTAGGGTTTTTAGGGTACGGGATTGCAGGGTTTAGGGTACAGGATTTAGGGTTTAGGGTTTAGAAAGATTGAATTTCTAGTCCTTCTTGGGTGAGGGCTAAGGGTGCTTAAGTTCCCGTACAAAAAGAAAGATGTGACCCGACTACAGTAGAAGCCAGAAAGTTGGAATATGATTATCCTAAACCCTTTATGGTAAAGCATAAGGTATCCTAGCCTGAAACCATATTCCAACTTTCTGGAGTTCCCTTTATGACAAAGTTTCTTGCCCTGCTCTCGCGCAGGGCGCGGCGGAGCCTTTCACATGCACTGCGGCTGCTTCGGAAGCCTGGGTTCGTGCTATACGGGACTTGAGACGGATCCCGTGCAGAACCCTCAAAGGAACCCTAAACCCTAAACCCCGAATTGAAGTGACCATCATAAATTGCAAGGATTCCTTATTATTTTATCTTAAACCAAGTTCCCGAATTGAAGTGACCATAATAAATTGCAAAGATTCCTTATTATGGTAACTTAAACCAAGTGTGACCATAATGAATTGTAAAGATTCCTTATTATGGTAACTTAAACTCCCTAACAAAAGCCCAGAAGCCCATGAGCGCTGCTCGCTGTACTGCGCTCCAGTCTTCCAGGGCAGACGCGGGATCCTTGCGCGTGGGGGTTGCCAGCTCGCCTCTTTTGCAGATCGCGATGCGCGTTCCTTAGCAGTTAGAATGATAAGGCATGAAAAAGGCTTCCCTTAAGGGATGTATAAGGGTTCCTTCAAGGGTTAAGGGATTTAATTTGAGTTACCATAGTAAGGAAACCATACCAATTACTACAGATCCCTATTATGGCACCTCAAAAAAATCCTTAACAAGAACCCAGGTTCTGAAGACCACCGCGATTTTCCTATCCATGGAAGCCAAGCTCTCTTCGATAGCGCACTGCAACCCCACAGCAGCCAGCTTGATTGCTGCTGGGTCGGAGAACTGGAGCTGCTCCATGCCAGCTTTGCAAAAGGCTTGCATGAGGATCAGCGTTCCCATTCCTGGGTTCTCGTTAGAGGATCTAATCTAAGATACCATAACAAGGAAACCATACTATTTACTGTAGATCCCTGTTTTGGTACCTTAAACCTCAAACCCTGAACCCTTATAGATCCCTTAGTGGAACCCTTATAGACCCCTTTTATGGAAACTTAAATTACACTATACTGAACTTAGAACCCTAGCAATTTTCTTAATTTTAGCTGTTTCTTAGGGATTTTAATAACCAAAAATTAAAAGTTATTTCTAAGAACCCCTAAGTACATCCCTTAACAAGAACCCAGATTCCCGCCACGGCGAGAGACAGATCTTCACAGGTTTGCGTCTGCGCATAGAGGCCGGCATTCAAGTGAACCTACTTGGAGGATTAGGGGACTTAGTAAGGGTTCCCTCAAGGGATCTATAGGGGCTCCTTAAAGGGATCTATAGGGTTTAGGGTTTAGGGCCTACTTGCAGGATCAGGGGACTTAATAAGTAAGGCTATAAGTACCCTAATTGGGGGTTTTATGTCATTGTAAGCACAGCTGCCTTATTGATGACCCTAGTTACTGAGTCCCATGATCCTTTAAGCAGCGTCATCATGCACATCTTCGTAGAAGCAAGAACCCAAGAATCTGATGTAACACCCAAAGCCGCCCAGATTCTAAAACAGCCTTACAACCCTAAACTCAGGAAAAGGCACGAAAGGGCGGAACCTTCCATTGGCCCGCTTGCACAAGCTGCGGTCTGTTAGGACGCGCTTCTTCTTCGAGATTGCTTTCTTCTGTGGCTTCCTTAGCAGAGAAGGGAAGACTGACTGGCGGCTGTGACGGCTTTTTGGGGGGCTTACAGGGGCTCGCAGGGGTTTAATGTTTAAGGTTCAACGTTCTGGTTGTCTTTTTTTGCTGGGCTTACGGAGCGCCTTGGTGTCCTCAGAAGGTGGGATGAAGGTACGTGGCATAGAGGATCCCTTACATAAGGACTCGCATTTCGGGACGAGTTACCCCGCCTAGCCTACGCCCTAAACCCGAAGCCATAAGCCCTAAGCCCTAAGCCCTAAACCCTAAACCCTAAGCCCTAAATTCTAAACCCTAAACCTACCTTCATCCTACAACTCGAGCCCCTTGAGTGCCTGGCCTCAGCATCCACTCTTCCAGGCGGCGGCGCTGGTGAAGAGACCTTGGCTCTTGCTGGGGAGCTTAGTTGAAGTTGCCAGAACAAGGATCTACAGTAGGGTGGTTGTCAAAATTATGGTCCCTTTTTGGACACCCTAAATACTAGGTGCCGTATTATAATAAGGACCAAAAAGGGACCCTAATTTTGACAACTACCCAGTAGATAATGTGGTGTCCTTACTGATTACTGCGTTAACAGTAGTCCATGATGTGGTTTGCGTACTATGGTAACTTGAGTGATGACATACAATGTGGTGTCCTTGCTATGGCAACTGTAACTATCGTTGAATACAACGGTTTCCTTACGATGGTGACTTAGTTTAAGTAGTTCATACGGTTTCTTTACTGTGGCAACACAAATTATAGCAAGTAATGTGGCTTCCTTACTCGGGTAGCTGAAATTTATCGTAAACCAAGTGGTCTCCTTACCATGGTGATTTAGACTGCACTAAACAATGTAGTTTCCATACTATGGTGACTTAAAGTAAACTCCTCAACGAGAATTTATATGGATCCGTGGCACCCTAAACCCTCATCCCTAGGGCCCTAAACCCTAAACCCTAGCACCCTAAACCCTCGGCTCCGAAACCCTAAACCCAATGCCCCAAACCCTCAACCCTAGGGCCCTAAACCCTCTCACGGGAACCCTTAAAAAACCCATTCATGGAGCCCTTTATGGCCCTAAACCCTAAACCCTAAACCGTGGGTTTAGGGTTTATTAGGGTTTAGGGTTTTGGGTTTAGGATTTATTAGGGTTTAGGGTTTTGGGTTTAGGATTTAGGGCTACAAGAAAGCCTTCAATCAGCCAAGAGACAAGCGCTCGATCGCCTCACGGCGCTGGGCCGTGCCTAAACGGCGGAGCAAGCCTTGTAACTCGTCGAGGCCTAAGCGAGAGGTATTAGGGTTTAGGGCCTTAGGGTTTTGGGGCGAAGGGGTTTCGGGTCTAACGGTTGAGGGGTTTAGGGTTCAGGGACTACCGAAAGTCGGATAAAGAAACACACCAAGACACAAAAACAACAAAATTTATGAACAATAGCCTTCGTCTCCTTCTGTGTATACAGACATACATGCATGCAGCCAGGCAGGCAGTCAGTCATACAGAAATACGTACACACGTGGGTCCATACAGAGGCAAGGACCTTTGCGCTTTACTTGGGGCATATGGGAGTTTTCAAACATTAGGGGTATCTTATTTTGGGATCCTTCTAATAAGGATCCTACTGCTTAGGGTACTACATTAGGGTCCCCTATTTTCGGAAACCCCCATATCGGTTTTTCAACCAGTGATGAAGCACGGAAGACGATGGGACGTAGTCACCAGGGCTAAAATTGTGACAACTATACAGTAGAAGCCAGAAAGTTGGAACATGGCTTTAGGAGGATTAGTGCTAGGGTTCCTTATACTTTAGCTTAAAGGCATGAGGATAATTATGTTCCAACTTTCTGGCTTCTACTATAGTTGTACTTCTATGATACATTGCCTCACGACCACTTGAGGGACGCAGCAAAGCAGTAAGCAGTGCTTGAGTGCTCCTGGCTACCAAGGCATGTTGTTTAAGGTTTGCTGTTCGCTGCACCGTGGCTCTGCGTGTGTGTGTGTGTGTGTGTGTGTGTGTGTGTGTGTGTGTGTGTGTGTGTGTGTGTGTGTGTGTGTGTGTGTGTGTGTGTGTGTGTGTGTGTGTGTGTGTGTGTGTGTGTGTGTGTGTGTGTGTGTGTGTGTGTGTGTGGTTGTGTGTGTGTGTGTGTGTGTGTGGGTGTGTGTGTGTGTGTGTGTGTGTGTGTGTGTGTGTGTGTGTGTGTGTGTGTGTGTGTGTGTGTGTGTGTGTGTGTGTGTGTGTGTGTGTGTGTGTGTGTGTGTGTGTGTGTGTGAACCTCCCTAGCACATGGGAGCAGAGGGTCACTCCTACACTGTTTGCAATTTTCGCTTTGCAACTCAATCAGACATTTGACATTTACCGAATCAAATGTTGCAGGGGGCCAGCGCATGGTGTTGTGACGCTGGCCAACGAAGCTAGCAACACCATGGGAAGAGGTTTGGGACGCCAAACCTTGTACCTGCACAAAATTGAGCTGGGGCCCCTGTGCCAGCCCGATTAGAAGGCCCCTGTGCCAAGATTAGAGAGTTTTCAGCTGCCACTTTTGGCGGTTGATTCGACAACAAACAAGTTGTACGGTTGCCACAATCTGACAAGCTTTTGCAACATGAACAACATGCCTCTCTTTTTCCTCTTGCACTCGTACTCTTGGCCGAATCCATCAGTGTGATCAGCGTGGGTCTATGAGACTCCAGAGCAACGGCTTTCCGTCAAGGCGCCGTGGTGACCCTCCGGGGAGACCGGTGATGAACCGGGTGTTCAGCCTTCGTTCAGATCGTTCAGATTCTCCAGATGCTACTTTATCTCTCTCTCTCTGATGCTCGCATGTGAGTCTGAGTGCAGGTGCAGTAAGGGACGGCTAATGCGGTAAAGTGCGTCTAGTGAGCAGGTCCTCTCTATTCTGCCCCGTATTTTTTCACTTCTTTATTCCTCAGGGATTGCAAGGGCATGTGCATCTGACATGAGTGCAGACGTGGTAAAGATGTCTACAGCAAGTGAAGCAGCGCTCTCTCCGGAGAGTACTCGGCCCTCCACCTTCCTTCTCTCCGTCTACGACCTCTCAAATCAGTCCAGCAGGGACAATCAGGACAGCCTGCACTTTGCTTGTGCAACTGTGTGTGTTTCACCCGCTTTGTTGCAGCTATGTGGCCGGATTATTTTGCCGCGCAGCCACCAGCAACACCATATGCACCAACAGCCCGACCGGTGCTTAATCAATTTCACCAGCACACCTGGGTACCGCAGTCTCAAAGCTACCCAGCAATGATGCCAACCGGCATTGCTGCCACTCAGCAGCCCACACTGCCGACACAACCCACTACGATTCCTCTTGAGCAAACACACGGCTTCCCCATGATGCCGTGTGGACACACCGCTCCTATTCCACAGCATCCGACGATCTACGCACATCTCAGCACACCACAACCCCAGATGCCACAACAACCTCCACCCCAGCAATTCATGTCACAACAACCCACACCGCTCATGAATCCTGCTCTCTTGCCGACCCATCCAACAGCTTTTCCCATGAGCCCATCTGCTTCGACACAGCATCAGGCCCAACCTACTACATTCAACTTTCCTTTTGCACCACCTGCCCCACAACCACAACTTGCACCCTGCAACATCCCTCCCACACAACCCATTCAACAATCCCACATACCGCCGCCAACAACAATTCAACAAGCTCCACAACCCCACCCCACCAGTGTTCCCACTGCCGATGCTGCACACACTGCCCCGCAGACACCGGCAATGACGCCCCAACAACAACAACCAACAAACGCAGCCAATACCCCTTCTGTCAATACAGTACCACCCGCACAACCACCCCCAGATACGGGATCGGCAGACACTGACCAGCTCGCAGCCCGTACTTCCCCCCATCATCCTCCGCTGCCACGCAGACGACGGCATTCACCCACACGCAGCAGGACTCGCACCGCGAGCACTAGACGCCGTCGACACACGCGCAGCCGAGCACGACCTGCAAGCAGCGGCAGACAGCACCGCCGACGCAGACACCATCGATCCCGGGACACTCGCAGAAGCCGTTCTCGCAGGGACACCAGGCGTGCTTCATCGACACCTCCTCGGACCTCGGTTGTGCTCCGCAGCTATTCTACAGTGCGTGATGATGATGCCAACAAGTGGCATTACAGAGCCACACAGCCACGTCAAAGGCCACCTACCCCACCCAAGGTCCCACAAAAAACATTGGCTTCACAGGTTCAGCGCATCGCCCTCCGCATCAAGGGCAGCCAAGCCGCACAACAGCAGCCCCCAACAAGCCAGGGCACATCCTCGCGTCAACAGCTTCGGCACAATCCCCCCAGCTCTGTTCGGACACCTGCTCCGACTTACGATGCATCCACAACTGCTGCCCCATCGGGTCAGCCAACCCTTGAACAACTGGGCAAACAGAGCAGACCACCACAGATTGATGTGGCGCCTTTCTCTGAGCTTTATGATCATGAAAAGCCGACCCCCCACGCTGTCGACTTGGAGGAAGCGCACAAACTCGCCAAAACTTTGGGCGAGATAGCTGCTGACAGCGATTTCAGGCAGGAAACTTTAGCCGATTTCGCGCATGCCGTATTACAGTCGGGCACGCGCTCAGCGTGCAACGAATTGGGAGCAACGCTGACGCCAATATCGGACGGCGTGCATACTATGTTATTCATCCCGTGGGCTGGTGAGACTCGCAGAGCATTCGGCACTCGTGCCACTGACCCACCAGGGGAAACATACATCTACACCGCTGGACACGGCACGAGCATTGCAAGTGCCGCACGCATAATGCGTGAGGACTTGGTCCGCCCAAGTTCTATCAGCCATTGCTTCGACGACAAGTCCTATCCACCCATTCCCTCCTGCGTCATATACGGGAATGCAACCCCAGGAGATGTGTCGGAGAGCACGGTACATATAGTTACCGATCAATGTACGCGGCGGCCCAAGGGCCAACAGGGAGTGAGCGTCATCGGGACAATACGGACTAAGTATCAGCATTACAAGATGACGTATCGGGACATGTACAGAGAAGCCTACATCGTGGGGCGAAAGGGTGTTGTACGGACCCCGGAGAAGTGGGGATTCCATTCCGGGCACTTCAGCATCGTTGGATTCGGCCTCATTCAGTGATGTTGATTTCTTCTTCTGTATCTTCCTGCCACTCTTTAGTACTTTTCTTCCAGGCCTGAATCCCTGTACACATAGTCGTTTGCAATCAGGCATTTGCTCCGACCTCGCTTTTGAGCCAAAGAAGACTCGATGCAGCTGCATGCTGGATGCCTCGCACAAGTTGATGTTGACGCTCAAGCCAACCAGGTTGATCATGCATGTTCCATGTGCAGCTTTTGCAGTCACAGGCAACTGTAGTGCCCCACTGTGCAACCATGTACAAGCCGACACAGCCTCAGTGGCATACAACAATGCCAACAGGCATCATCGGTACAGCAATCAGTACCGTGCAGAGACAAACAACCTCGACCAGCAGTACCCCATTGCACCCGATCTCCCCACCACCAGGGATACACAACATCCCACCACACACCTCATCACCAATCCCAACTACTTGGGGTCCAGCTCACATGTCCAGCCACAACAACACGTTCCCACCTTTCCCCCCACCCCCTCCCCCACCCCAACAGTTTCCCCGACCAATTCTGCCCACCACACTACCAACCCCCACACCTGCCACTCCCCAACACACATTTGTGAGTCCATCTCCGATGACGACTCGAAACCCCAGCTTTTCGTCACATACATTACCTCAAGCTACCGTCGCAACCCAACAACAGCAACACCCCAATCCCACGCCTGCAAATCCCCAGATACCAAACGACTTTGTTCAAACACCGGAGCATTGGGACAACAGGCAGCTTTTTGGCCTCAACCTCCCCAAACACATTCAATCTACACCACATTCAGTGCATAACCGCACAGCAGGCATGCCAATCGCAACAGCACCATTGGTCGCATTTTTGCGACACAATTGGTCTTCGTACTGGCTACGGTACGCTGCACATGGCTTCGACATTCATCTCACATGCAGCAAACACGTCAGCGAAGCCGTTTTTACCACTGAACTTATGGGTCAACTCCGAGCAAGGAGAATTGATCTGGACCAAGCGGCCACTGCATTCTGCTGGCAAGAAAAGCTCACACTTGCAAAACGACCAGCAATGTCACACCTTATTAAGGAATTGGTGTTGTACCTGCAGGAGCTGCAGGACCAGTACAACGACGGCAACAAAAAGGACAAGCAAAACGTCAAAGCAGACACA